ATGGTTTTCTCCAATATAATTGTAGCCTACCGTACCGTATTCCGGGATTCACAAAAACTGATTACGGAACCGATGACAATGTGCACTAAAGGGTGACTAAAAGTAAATTGATACGCCCCTCGCGCGCCGCTAGCACGCCTCTAGTGTTGGGAAACGAAAATCTTGGACAGTGATTTGTTTACGCTTCTATAGAGAACAACTGGTGCAAGTTTGATCAAAGTAGTCGATCGTGTTCAGAAATAACGTCAAATGGAACTCAAAAGAAGAAAAAATATTGTGCACAATCATCTGGAAAATCCCGAGTGGTCCGGTTCTAAGTTGGCTAAAGTGCTGAAGATGCCCAAAACAATGTCGAGTGCTCAAAACCTACAAGGAAACCCTGAGTGTGGAAAGGAATCAGCGGACTTACGAAAAAACTGGAACCAGGAATTGTCAGCAGCGCCGCAAGGTGTCTTTCGATCCGAGATGTGGCCAGAAGGTACAACACCAACTTGCAAACGGTGCAGAACATCCTTTCCAGGGAATGATACAGGCCATACAAAGCCAGTAAACATCCGAACCGGTACATGAAGCAGAATTCCGTGGCCAAAAAACGTGCGAGGCTCTTGTACGATCGTGATTTGACGAAACAAATTGATCGATGACAAAACATACGTTAAACTCGATTTTAAGCAGCTTCCCGGTCAAAAGTTTTACATTGTGACTGGACGTGGTGATGTGCCAGGAGAATTCAAGGAGGATTTGGCAAGCGATTTGCAGTAGTGGCCTGAATACGGAACCAGTCGTCACATCCTCGACGATGGCATCCCAAGTCTACATCGAAGAATGCCTGAAAAAGCGTGTATTGCCGTTCATCCGCAAGCATAGGGGCAAAGTCATCGTTTGGCTTGATTTGGCCAGCTGCCACTACTTCAAGGTGATTATTAAGTGGTATGCTGCCAACATGATCGATTTTGTTCCCAAGCTAATGAATTCTCCGAATTGCTCGGAATTTCGAACAATCGAAAAATACTGGGCAATTTCAAAGCAGTGACTTTGACGAAGCGGCAGGGCAGTCAAAGACATTCAGCCAATGCGGGCAAAATGGATGAAAAGCGCTGATTTCGTGTCCGTTTCCCATGTGCGGGCGCTGATGGGCTCCTTCAACAGGAAAAAATGTAACCATGCTGTAACTTTGAAGTTTTAATAAAAGTACTGTAAAGCAATCATTAATGGACTTTTTGTTGAACTGACTTGACGGAATCATGAATTACAAGTCTTTTTGTGAGTACCAAAATTTACTTTTAATCAGCCTTTAGTCTTCATTGTTCTCATTTATTCTTCTGATATGATTTGACATGCAGCATGATTAATTTGCCTCGAATACTATGTTGCCGGATGTCACCGAGTATAGCATAAACTGATTTCAGAGACCCCATTGTCAGTTTGACATGATTTGACATGTCCCATGATATGGCTACTCTGAACGTAATAATGTTATAACACGGAACCAAATTTCAGAACCTCGGAACTGATATTAAATAGGCCAAATGTCACTGGATACACCTCAAATGTTCTTAAGTGGCTTGATTCTATCTATTTGGCATAATTTGACATGTTGCATGATACGATTCCTATAAATTCTACTACAGTGTATCGCAAAATTGTGCGTACACCCTAGTGGAACATTCTGAATAGATATATTTTTTATTGGCTGGTGTTTATTGATTTTTCGTTTTAGTTTTGGACCTGTATGAAGTTAGATTTATTTAAGTAAAACGCACGGTTTTGAACTTTTTGCCTTGTGGACGAATTTTAGTTAAATTAGTAGAATATGAATGATCTTTATTAAGACGAAAAATGAGCAAAATTTCAAAATGTTTAGTTTATTTTATTTCAAGATATTAAGGTTTTTAAAGGAAAAGGCATTTTTCTCAAATAGCTCTTACTTTTAATAAACGCAACCAAATAACCCCAACACCAAAAATTGATAAATTTATGATAATTCAGCAGCCCGAAAATCAGAAACGTATCTCTTTCAGTTGTGCTTTTGAAGCTGTTTTTTTTTAAATTTAAGGACATCTGTACGCTCAATTTTGAGATGCACTGTATGTTTTATAGATCCGTGTTCCACAACTCCCGGAATCTATAATAACGTGGCCAGACATCGTAGAAAGATCTAAAATAATTCTGATTAATCTGATGCTATTCAATGCACCACATGACCAATTCGCCAGATAAATTCGGTTGGAACATTGCTGAGAACGAGCATTTAAAAAAAAGTAAGAGGTTGTATCCAAGACACCGCCGTAGATTTGACGTAGGATTACGAAAGGTAGTTTTGATGTCACAGCAAAAGTATAGTAAATATTAAATTGATTTCTTACATCATTATCACTGAACAAGCTCGATAGGTTGAAATTCGGAAGCAATTTGAGAGTTCTGTTTTTGAAGTTCTCTGTCAGTGTTGATGTAGTACAAGCCAGTCCTGGACGATATGTCTTGGATATAAGCTTTTACTTGAACTCTTTAGTTAACTCTATTATCAGTCATTTGCGGTCCTGAAAACGACCGATGGGTTGGAAGCCAGTCTAAAGCAATGCTGTGAAATTATTTCCTCAATGTTCTTCGAGAAGACAGTGGTGCTCATGCGTTGCACTTGGATCAATTGGTGAAGATTTTGGTAAAGGACGATGGTATAGTAGTCCTCAATTGATGATCTTGGCGAATTATTACGTTACAAACAATGTACATCTTTGTTTCAATGGGATATAGTCAAATGTTCTACCATATCTTGAAGACCCTTCTCCAGCATCCCAACCAGTAGATAAAGCAACCCAAGCAACATTGCAAGTGTTATCGTGGTTTTATAGCATTCTACAAGTCTAAATCATGGTCTACAGAACCCTAATAAAACCCAAATTATTACTTGGGAATGTTTCTCTAGCCGTTCTGATCGTGTCTTGGTAACATCGATTCCTTTCAGCATCAGTTTTCGACTGCATCTTCGGAGGTTTGTCTGCTTGCAATTCCTTTGTGCGCTAACGTGATCCGCGCTTGTATTGTGTAGCCAAATCCTGTTGCATGGCTATATCGATAAACTTGCAGACAATTTCTCATATAGGGGAAATGGCTCTAATGTTGGCCTATGGATCTAAGATTGGGCCCATCGCTTAAAGTCTGCTATTTATTAATTTGATCTAGATGAACGCGTCATTGGGACGGTACTAATGGATATTTTTGGACGCTATTGAAAATTTAGTCGATTGGTGAATTTATGTATGGGCATCTCCCGTATCACATACTTCGCACTACAATTGTAGAAATTTGAAGAGATTGAACTGCCCATTAATTTTGGTATTCGGAAATAAAATCTGTGTTAGGGAAAACACATCAATCGAAGAATCTTTGCATACCGGACGCTACCTACTATTATGCTTTTTGATGCAAATTTTAAACCCCTCTTATTTAAAAAAAATAGGGAAGAATTTTATTGCATCAAAAAGGCAATCGATGATTATTTTAATTATCATAGCAACAGTTGCACATTCGTGCAATTTTCAATACTGACCTTTTGAAAATTGAAAGCCTTAATTTTAACAGATTCGTATCCTTTCATTTCCTATCGATTGCTGAATTAAGAATTAAAATCCATCATCTCTGGATTTAAATCAGACCACTTCCATGCCGCGACCAACTTTGGTTTTTGAAATTTCACCTCCAATGTTGCCTTAAATTACATGGTATGTTAGATTTATATCTATGGGAACTAACATCCGATTGATAACCTTGGCAAGTCTCGCGTTACTTTTCAAATAATCCAATCTACATTGATCGATTCTCTTCATCGACTCTCGCTTTCGTTGATAAATTGGCTGCATTCATATTTGGGGCTAATTTTTGAACATAGCCTATTAAAAGAAACCATTATTAAGCATATAAGCTGAACATGTTTTTCGAGCCAAGTTATTAATTTTATGTATTGAATGATATGTTGTACTTGTAAGAAACAAGAAGAGGGTGTAAAGTATGATAGATTAAACACACAATGTACATTAAAAGGTTCATAAAATTGAAACTCAACACAGAAATGCAGAAGGTTTTTTGAACCCAACATTTAAAACAGTGATTGTGGAAATTCACAGATTTTGAGTTGAGCCAGTAGTGCACGAAACTGACCATTTGCAAACTTTTTCGATAGAATTGAGGACAAATAATTTTGAAACTATAATTTTAACTAGAAGAACTAAATTTTGAATCTATTGGGTTCAATTCATTCTATTGAGAGTTTAATTTGCTTAACTGAAACAATCATATTAACAACCCATTTATTAAATTAAAACGTTTGCAATTTTAAAGGGTTTTCATTGAGCACAGGTAAAGAAAAGACTGATTTTAAGTTAACTTAAATAAGTTTTAGTTGAAAACCGCTGGTCAGTCATAGTTCTTCAACATAAAGATTTGTGATGTCAGCTGCACTATGATTTCTTAAGTTGTTTGTCATGAATAACTGACTGATTTTCTAATATAAAAAAATGTAATTTTTTGGAATTATTCAATAACCACCCTGTTAAAAAAAAATATTAATAAATTGTTTATTTTAGAGTAAAATTTCTAAACCATTTATAATGATATTTATATATTATTTAATGGAGCAGCAAAACTAAATTATCTCGCAACCCTACGTCAACAATACGGTCGGGCTTTGTTCACAACCCTTAATTTTGTTGCCTTAAATATGGAACAGAACACAAATTTGAATGTCTTTAAATAGATTTTCTAAGCAAAATTTCGCAAAAAAAAAATAAAAAAAAAAAATCCCTAAAGTTGTTGTACAAGAACTACTACAAGGATTTTTCACCCAAAATTCGTAAAGTTTTTTTATCGTGCATATTTTTTTTCGCAAAAGTTGTTTTCTACAACTTTGTCTCAGACGTTAGTTCGATTAGAAGCGACGTTTTTGAATTATGAAATGATGAACAATATCGAACACACCATTTTGAAGTTTATGGCGTCGAAATAACCGGCTTTTAGCTCAAATGTGAAAGATTGACCATATAAATCAATTATGTAAAGTTTCATACAAAATAAAGAAGGTTGTATCACATCAGATATCTACAGTGCAACAACATAATCTTGTAGCGAGCTCAAACAGTCCATGGAAATATGAAAAAGTAAGCTCTATTAATAAAAATGAAAACAAATTTCTAGTAATATTGTGGTCACCTCAATGGTCAATTTAATCCTGTGTCTAAATAGCATTAACTATTGTCATCGTGAATGATTGAAATTTAGCTTTACTGCCAATAACAAACTATCAACGCATTGCCATACTGTGTTGCCGTTCCACAACCATGCAGTAAACATCTCAATTTTAGGAAGCCCCATCGAACTAACAAACAAACGAGCATCCACCACCAGCCGAACAATGCACGCTCAATGTAAAACACATTACCTCTACATCCCCAGCTCGGTCGGTATGGAAGATCACAACAACAAGGGCTAACAGGGGCCACCTATCTGTTCGCAGGAAGCGAATCTTACCCAAATTCCCCGCAACTCCCTACGCCCGGTGCCCACGAAATTTACACATTATCCGTTTTACCAAAGCTGCTTAAATAATTCGGTGGAGAACTGGATCCATTGTTGCTACCACTACTGCTACCATTGTTGCTGCCGCTGCCATTGCTACAGGGATTATTATTTTGTATTGGTTGATTATCTAAATTATTAGCTCCGCAACCATTCGGCAAGGGATCCAAAATGTTGGAGCTTCCGGGGCCTTTGCCAGCGAACTGATGGGTCGTCGTAGTCGTCGTCGGTGCCTGATGATGATGATGATGACCCAACGACGACAAGGACGACGACGGCAACTGCTGCGATTGATGGTGCTGCTGCTGCTGCTGCTGTTGGTGGAGTTGTTGGTGATATGGCGAATTATTAATCATATTTATGTTGTTTGCTGACGAGGCCGCCGTGCTGGGAACTGAGGACCACGTTCCATCGTACTTGGATTTGATAAACAATGGTTGCTCGGTTGAGCGTCCATTATCGCCGAAATTGAGTTTATTATCCTTATTGTAGCCTATTTTGTTGTATTTTGTCGTTCGCTTGATGGTGCCGAAGAGGGGCGTGTGTGGAACGCTGACACTGGCCCCGGACGCTCCGGCCGGAAGTAGATTACTGCTGCTGTTTGCATTGAGATTACTTACACTGGAACCTCCATATGGTGACCCGGGTAGGCCAGGTACGGCCACGACCGAGGCAACCGAGGTCTGACTATGGCCCAGGTTGTTCATCATGTCAGCCATCCGGTTTTCGATGATGTTCATCTTCTGGCTCTTCATGCTGCCTCCGGCGCCGTAGGCTCGTTTCGGTTCCACCCCACCTCCGGATCCGTTCGGTTGTTGTTGGTGAAGTTGCTGCTGATGTCGCAGTTGATGTTGATTTATGAAATTATTGTAGTGGCAGCTCGTCGGTGCCGAGTAGACATTTTTCCCATCGAATTGGTTCTGGCCGAACATGGGTGCACTGGGTGCTGTTACTACGGAGGAACCGATACTGCCCGGATGAATGCCAGTCGAACGGCCGACCAGGGTGGTGGAAGCGTAAGCACCGTAGTTATCGTAGGACGGTGAGCCACCGAGATCGTTCTTGAAGGATGAGCAACCAGCGACCTCGGCGTAATCGGGCATGTTGAGCGGTGACAATCTGCGGGGTAGAAAGGAACGGTAGAAACGCCTATTAGTATAAAATTTCGAGCATGATAATTGCGAGCGAACCCATACTGAATGGGATTCATCAGCATTGGTTGTAGTAATTTTATCCTCTATTTAATAACTTTTTAGAAAATATGTTCCCCAAAGTTTTTCAACTGACATAGTTCTTCGCAAACCCTTCGAAATTGCATCTAGGCCTACAGTGAACTTTTTCGGTAGCCATACTTATTGCTCCAAATACAGAAGTTGGCACATTTTTTTCCAAACCAACAACAATAATAATGATAATAACAACTCCCGTACAAACAACCCTCAACCCCAGCGATGTAAGCTCCCGTTGATGATGGTGAAAATTGTGCATTTGAATCGCTTTTCAACTCGGTGGGAACTGTGCACAGACGGCGTCGAACTAGCAGCTCCCTCTAATGCTTGCTAATGATTGTTTTCTTCCTACTCTTACTTTTTTGTTTACTGTCCTGGGCAGGGTTACCAAATTGAAATCTGTGTTTTTACTCTTAAAAGCCATATCATCATTGTTTTTTTTTTTTTTTTTACAGAAAATCTGCGATGATATCGGAAACAATCATTTATGAATTAAATCCAATAAATGTTTTCGAATTTAAATTATGGGGAAAATTATTGTCTCTTTGCACTTCTGGTAGACATTAAACTATAAAAAATAAGGAATTAACATGAACATAGCTAAAGAGAATGCGTCTCTGACAGTTTTGATACTTTCTATTCATGCCAAAGCTAATAAAATAGGTAGATGAGTGAGTGATACGAAAGTTTTGCTGAAGCGAATACCATAGTTATATGTTTGTTGATCAAATTGTTGCGTTATTATTTTAATGTTTAACCACAATTAAAAGCATCAGCTCATAATTTAAAAAAAACCTTCATAATCTGTGGTTAACCTAGAAATCTGTTATCTGTGAATACAGATTCTTGGATCTGAAAACTCTAAACAAACTGTAGAAATACAAAATAATCTGTAGCTTTGGCAACCCTGGCCCAGGGCTGTTGGAGGAAGGCGGAAATTTTCGTGTGGGCAAACTTTTATCGTCACAATGCGACTGCGGTGGAATCGTTGTCGTTACCCGGTTTGTCTTCCAGCAGTTGGAGTGCTATCATGGAATAGGATTGTGGTTTCTGCGGAGGTGTCATTAAAAGTTGTGTGCACGGCACGATGTAAAATACCGAATAATGAGCTTAGAGCTTTTCCGTTCCGAAGCAGCGCCACCGGTTGACCCAGTTCCGGAAAATGGGAATTTGTGCTTTTGTTCGCAAAAATTATGACGAAACTTTTACCTGCCATTTGGGTCATCAATCCGCTTTATTGGTCAATAAAACAAAATGAACATCGATGGAGTGCGTTCACACGAGCCCTAAACAGATTTACTAGTCTATAAATTTAACGCTTACAGTAGTAGTAGTAGTAGGAATAAGACCAACCGAGACACCGAATCAGGCAAATCACCACGGACGAGACACATTCAAACAGAAGAAGACTATCAAAAAACCGGACACTAAAAGGATCAGATCATCCCCGGGTGTGTGGACAATCCTTCCACATGGGTTCCCAGCGAGTGGAGGATGGGGAGCTCTATCGTGTACGCATGAAGTAACAACATGCCACATTTGTCCGCTTTTTATGTGCTCCGCTGTTGTTGTTGTTGTGGCTGTCGGAGCATAATTTATGTCCACCCAGACAAACGTGACGGTGCGGGTGCTTGTTCTGTAACGTTTTTTATCGTTTGAGCCATCATTCCGAAGCTTTGCATTATTTTTCTCTCTGGTATCCTGTTATAGCTACTATGCGAGGGTATGTGGAATCATAAATCTTGCACGACAACGCTGAAGCCGTTTTAGCGACCATCGACGTTTCATCCCAAGCGCCACAGATTTGTGATGATCGCAGGCGTAATTGTGAGCATGTTGTGCACCCGCGGTACGTCGTGGCTGTTGGTGTTGATTTTATTCCGTTAAATGGGTATCAAACTTAGATTTGTTAGAGATGCTTTCTGATGTCACAATGAACGATATGATTATATCTAATCATGACCTTTTATGATTGTCTCTAAAATAAATCTCTCAGCTTAAACCGAAATTGGAGCTTTTGAAATGATCTTTTAGAATTTTTAACTGACTAGCTATTGAAACATAAATCGGAAATGTGTTGCTTTCCAATAAGGAAATCGGGGTATGTTGAATTCTTTATTGAAATGCAACCTAAAATATTTTCAACAGCAAGTTAGTTAAAATTCTAGAAGAACGTATGAAAGAAAAAGTAACTGAGAACATTTCCTATGAGTTCAGAAAGCCAACTTAGCTGTTAAGCATTGTGGTGAATATCCAGAACGAGGAGAACAAAAAGATCACTTTTACCATATGATCTTTAAAGAGCCAGTGCAGTATAGTACCTAAACCAATTGCAATCAAACATTGGGAGAATGATATTGAAAAGATTGAGAATCAAAGGGGCTGGGGGGAGCAAAATCAATATTTACCCCAATTCCGATTTTGATATTTAAAAAAAATCGAGGAATTGAACGCCGCTTTTTTTTTTACTCATCGTTTGTTCCAATTTCTCCTCCCTTAGCTCAGTCGGTAAAGGTGCAACTACAAAGCAAGACCATGGAGGTGGCTCGATTCGATTCCCGGTCCTGTCTAGGAATGTTTCGGGTTGTAAAATTTCTCAACTTCCCTGGGCATAGGTATGATTGTTCTTGCCACACACAGGCATCGAAAGCTCTCTGGCTTAATAACTGAGGAAATGCATCTAGAATACTAAGTTGAGAGCACGGCAATAAGCTAAATATGCGATATGCAATAAGCTTGAAATGCGAAGAAGAAGTTGTTCCAATTTCAAATTAAACGACGAGTCGAGTATCAGTACTAGACACTGAAGAAGTTTGTTCATAGTAGACGAAATACGCTTATTTGTCAGAGATAAGCATATCAAGTAGTGGAATTTAATGGAAATTACTAATCCTTCTCTCTCTCTCTCTCTTAATAGAAAGTTGATTTTGATTTTTAGCAGCTGCCATAGGGGGTTAATTAATAAAACTGATCCTGGAGTTCCGTGATATATTTTAAAATTAATTGAAGTGATGATATTTAAAAAAAAATTGGCCTGTAACTAGACTGTTGACTCTGGATCATAGGACAGTCGCTCAGACGATCCAAAACATCCGTTAAAGTGGTCAGTTAATTAAAATGATTCTAGGGCCCCGTGATTTCTTAAATCGCTTGTACGTACACTACATGACTGAAATTGAATCTGAGATCGGAATGTAGACTATGGTTATTGGTGATCTGAAAGAGCTGGAACATCCGTTAAAGTGGTAATTTCACCACCTACGCTAAAAAGAGATCTGTTTTTTTATGCATTGGTTTTTGTCGTGCGTGTTTGACCATAGTTTACCGGTGTAAAAGTTAAAAATACCAATTCAAGAGACATTTTTAAAATAGCCGTATCTGCTTTTATGGGCTACAAAATGGTGAGTGACAATCTGGAAGGAGCTTATTTGGTCATGTGCTGAGCACCGTGGAGTCAGATCCGAGTTGTATGATTCCCTTCGGGCTCGAGGTAGACAACCTAATGTTCCAGTTCGGGATATTTTGGCTAGACGCGATCTAGAGTTTATGCAACTCATATATGTTTTCTTGAAGAATATTAACCATAGATTGTAAGTTTGATTAACTTTGTGTTTAGTTTGTGTTTTGTATGTGTGTGTGTATTTTTTTTTTGTAGATTTGTTTCTGTAATAATTGTATAATTACAGAGTTGATATAACGTCGATAGGATTAAGTATTTGTTTTAGAAATAGTGAAATTTTTTAATCATAAATCATATTCCAAATCTCCTTTTCCCTCTCCCGATCCAAACAATTGTCATCCACTAACCTCGAGAAGACCGCGAGTAATCGGTTCCGATCCTTTAATTTTAGATTTAAGACATTTATAATGTATAAAGAAAATGATAACTTGGCTCTGTAAAGTATATTCGAATGAGCCTGTACAAATAAAGTAATTAACAAAAAAAAAAATCTGGAAGGAGCGATATACCTAGCTCCGGTCCTCACAAGTTCCTACCTCACGCCTCCACGAGTCATATGATCACAAAAGACTGCCAGCTGAAACATGGACACAGCTGGTTGGTGTAGCCTGGGCAATGTTGTCAATTCGACAATAGCAGAGTGAGGAGGTGCGACGCGAACACTGGCGCGGTAACCATAGAACGGTGATAGAGGAAATGCTTCGCCAACCCGAGCGTCTGTTCACCATGGAGGTGCGGCTCAAACAGCGTATGACTGGCATCCAGCGGCTGAATAAGAAATGCTCTTCCCCGGAAGCTACAACTAAGATGGCAGCTCCATCACGGCGGATAGGAGACCTTAAGCCAACCATCTACTGTCTCTAAAACCTTTACAATTGTTACAGAAATCAACAGAGAAAGAAATCGAACTGATTTAACGGCAACGACTTTTAGCGCAAAACAACGGACACGAATTGGATCATGGAATGTATTGACGTTAGCCCAGCAGGGTAAACTGGCACAACTCGCCAACGAGGCGCGACGCATGAAGCTAGAAATCCTGGGACTGAGTGAAGTTCGTTGGCCAAACTTTGGAGAACACAAACTGCCGTCGGGACAGGTACTACTATACTCTGGTATTCGAGGTGAAAACGCTCCCCGCCATCGTGGAGTTGGTCTCCTACTTAGCGTCCAGGCAAGTGCTGCGCTCATCAAGTGGGAGCCTGTTAATGAGAGGATAATCGTTGCCAGATTTAGAACACGGGTTCGTAACCTTACCATAATCCAATGTTATGCGCCAACCGATGCTGCCGAGCTACAGGACAAGGAGAATTTTTACAGTCAACCTAATGCCGTCGTGGATAAGGTTCCAAAGGGTGACATCAAGATCAGCACTGGCGACTTCAATGCGAAGATCGGCTCCGACAACACGGACTATGAGCGTGTCATGG